TCACCGGCGACAATAAACTTTTGTTGAGGAGTCCCTTCGATACGGATTATGAGAGACATACCAGGGCTGAAACTCCCCCCAGCACAGGCCAAAAAGGGGCTATTACGAAGAACAGGTGACTTTTGGCCCGAGATACAGCAATCCAGGCCGAACGTAAGTCGCTAGCATCCATTTACATTCTTTGACTGTGTGTTGATCGAGGTGGGTGAAAGCAAACCTCGTACGAGACAATAGGCGAAGATCTTGGCGAGAAGCTAGAGGAGATCGTGTACACCCAACTTAAAACTACAGATCCCGTCAGTGCAAGCGAGTCCTTTGTGCGACTGGCCAACTGGAATCTTTTTGCCGAGCTTCTTGGCTTCATTTCGGAAAAGAGCTTTTTGACTGTCAGCGACCGCTTTATTGCCGACTTGGAAAAAAGTGCCGCCCAACGTCAAGCATGAGGAAGAACCTCACTTGCATTTGTTGATCCATGGTATGCGCTATTTGAAATTGACGAACTACCCTCTCGAGAAATTTGAGGAGAGCGCAGATTTTCTACAGTCTTTGACGAAGTTCTTCTGCAACACCAAGAACCAAACCATTATTTTTGCATACGCGGACGTCTTGAGCAACTTAATTTTCCCCTTGGCTTCCGTTTTGACTGCTGAGGCCAACCATCCTTTATGGGTCGAAGCAATCACAAAAATTTACAATAAGCTGCACAGTTTGTGGACTATTGCAGACTCGATGCTTTTCTCGTCACAATCGAGCTTTTCTAGTTCGAATGGGGGATTCTCCCACTTGAACATAAATGATTGGGGCACCTCCCTAAACCTCATGACTTCTTCTCTTTTGGTTGCACCAAAAGAGATCTTCTCAGATAAGTGGTTTCAAATCGTGGAATCAAGCGCCACTAAATTGAAACCTAAAGTGGATACCGAAGTCAAAACGAAAATGATGATCAGTATATCTAGGCTTCTTTGGACTTACATAAACAGGCTTCCAGATACTTTGAACAACACCATCAAAAAGTTGGATTCGTTGTTTGACATTTTATTCTTCAGTTCCAATGTGGCCGGTAAAAAACAGCAATGGATCGCACTTGATAACCATTTGATCAATGCCATTTCTGAGATTATCCGCATCGCCGGTTTTCAGCATTTTAATTACGTATTGGAAAACGTCATTTTGAGACTTTTGCGTTCCAGTTTCAATGGCCTGTCATTGGAAAATATCTCTGCCGAGAAGTTGATTATCGTCATAAAAGCTTACATGTTATGCTTGAAGGATTACAAACTGGGAGAACGGCCTGAACTTCCATCAGACAAGGTTTTGAATGACCTTTACACTGAGGTGGTTACTAATGCTGATCAGAAAAGAAAGCCTTTCCACAAGACTGTGGAAAAAACAATTGACCATAACTCTCTGAAGTGGAACAGACTTATGTTTGACCAAAGACGAACTCAGAATCTTGCAGCACATGAAGACATCTGTAAGACTTTTGTGTCTTTACTCAAATTGCTCGATTCAAATTGTGGGGCGACCAGTTGGGTTAAAGGTGAATCATATTCATCAATGGACTATGTCAAACCATTGTCGGGCTTGTCAAATTTCCACTTTGGTATTGACTTCTCAGTTCTGAGTACTCGTGATGTTCAGCTCAATCTTTTTGCAACTTTGATAGATGCAGCAGCGTGGTCTATTGTCCACTGGTTTCAAGTGACAGTGGCCCGTCTCTGATGGGCATTCT